GTGATACAGGTGAGGGCCAATAATCTGCCCTCTGCCTCAGAACCAACCCCAATCCCCATGTACCCAGCCATCTCTATACTAAGTATGTGTTAAAAAACCTAATAATATTGATATTTCTCTTAAATATTAATTGTGTGCATACCATCATAAAATTAAGATGTTATTTTTACTACAACGTACTATTGTGTCGGAAAAAGTGTAGTTTGGGGATCGGCCCAGTCTCTATTTCAATTAATCCCATACTGTATGTTCTGTTATTTCGTTTACGCGTTTCTCGTTTTACGCGGACCTCCACGGGTTCAATTGACCACGTAAATGAAGACTATACTGTACTTCATTTTGCGTCGTCACGGACTACTTTCTACGGTGCATCACCCGCTCTTGTCTGGCCATGCTACGCTCTCTCTGCTCAGCGTGCTGCCTTCACTCGCGGAACGTCACAGCGTCCCCAAGTGACGCCAAGCCAGTCTCTGTTACGACTTCACATCATTCGCGTGTGCTTAAGTGCTTTTGCTTTAAAACTATACTTTAATCACTCGAAATGGCTTCCAAGCGCCCATCAAGTGCTACTGATGCTAGTGCAGTGAAGAGGCAACGTAAGACCATTACCCTTGCTATGAAAATGGATGTATTAACCCGATTTGAAAAAGGGGAACTTGCTGTGGACATAACCGCTGTGCTTGGTCTAACCCCCACAACGGTGTGTACTATCCGGACCAATGCTGACAAGATTAAGGTTAGTGCTGGAAGTGGTTTTTCTCTGAGTGCTGCTAAGATGACTTGTACTAGAGGCACTGTGATAGAGAAGGTGGAAAAGATGCTAGCAATGTGGTTGGAGGACCAGAATCAACGGAATGCCCCTGTGAGCCTTATGGTTATCCTGCATAAGGCCAGATCCTTCTTTGGTGACATGAAGGAAATAGAAGGTGAAGGATCGAAGGAAAAGACCTTTACAGCCAGCCAAGGATGGTTTCAACAATTTAAGCATCGGTATAACTTCCCCAACATACAGTAAAGATGACTGGTGAAGCTGCCAGTTCATATACGGTTGCTGCCAAGACATTCCCGCCAACAACGGAGGAGGAGCAAGCAGCGGCGGGGGAACCCCAGTCAGAGCAGGAGGAGGCAGCCGCAGAGTCTCAGTGACTTGCCACCCTCCTCCTCTCCCGACTTCCTTTGCTCCCACCCTCCTTCTCCGCTCCCGCCATCCTCCTCCTTCGTTCCACTACCCACCACACATTCGCTCTACTACCCCCACCCATCGGTGAGTACCAATACAAACTTAGTACTGTAGTTCTATATACTATTCTCTATAGAAATGGCAATGATTTTCTGTATATGTAACTTTTTTCATGGGACAAAGGGAGGCTCAGGAACGTAACTCCCGTATTTTATATATTTCTTATGGGGAAAATTGATCCGCTTAACGTTGTTCGCTTAATATCGCATTTTCAAGAACGTAACCCCGACATTAAGTGAGGACTTACTGTATATCTCCTTGAAGATGTCATATTGCTATAAAATAGGTAAAATGAAGAGCATGGGTGTGTATGTGTGGACATGGCTGGTCACTAAGTTAAACAGTCCTTGTACTTTGCTACATCCCCCTAGCCTTCTCCCTACAAGGCCACGCTGTGTTATTGTTATTTTTCAAGTTGTGTTTTCGGTTAGATATACTGTACCTAATTTTATTAAATTTTTTTTTTATATTCTTGTCACATGCAGGAGGAATAAATTAGACTGCAGATTGATAAAGATGCCACATTAATCCGCAGACACTGTACTGAAAATTCATTGCCGTGGTTGATAAAATGGTATTGAGTAAAAACCGTGGATACCCAGAATACGTGGTTGTCGAGGATTTACTGTTCAAAAATTTACTTTAACGAATTAATTTTTTAGGAACCTAACCAATTTGTTTATCAAGAGTTCCTCTTAATCTTTTCCTTAATGAAATATTTTATTTTTTATTTATTTTTTTTTCAAATTACTGTACAGTGAACCCTCACTCTACGCGGTTAATTGAACCCACGGCGGCCCACGTAAAGTGAGAAACGCGTAAAGTGAACAACATAACATATGGGATTAATTGAAATAGAGACTGGGCCGACCCCCAAACTCCACTTTTTCCCGACACAGTACGTACGTTTTACTAAAAATAACGTCTTAACTTTATGATGGTATTCACACACACATAATATAGAAGGGAACAATCAATAAGAGAATAATATACTGAAGGTTAGGTTAGAAAAAAACAAGGTTGGGGTTAACACTTACGTTAGTAGAAGAGATGGGTCGGCGTAGGGGAATGGAGGCTGGTTCCGAGACAGAGGGCAGGCTACTGGCCCTCAGGTGAGTCTTCATCGGTGTCATCCACACTTACTATTGCCTCCCTGACAAATCCCTCAAAGTCATCATCACTGTCTCTGCCTCTGTCACTATCACTGGCTTGGGCTGGCTGTGGTGGGTTGCGGGCAAAGAACTCTTGTTATGCTTTGCTGACGGCTGGTGTTTATGTTGTCGTGATAAACCTTGATGTAGGGCTCCATAGTCTGCAACAGCTGGGTAGTGAAGATTTCATACCTGTTAGCGTCAGGGTCATCGGAAAGGAGGAGCTTGACTTTCTCAATACACTCGATGGCACCCCTTACATTACTATGGGATAAGTGGCGTTCTTCTTGGGATGACGAACCACCTGCCTCTTCACTGACGTCATCATCATCTACCATCTCGTCGGTAGTCACATCAGGATCCCTTATCACCTCCAGGATGTCGTCGTTGGTGTTCTCAGAGAAGCCTGCAGCTGTAACACTGCCCAGCTTCTCTGGCAAGGTCCTTTGCCACTGCAACAGTCTGAACCTCACCAGTCACAGATTTACTCTGCCTAACACCCAGAATACCTTGCAACACATGTCTCCATGCGTAACGAACAGTTGCTACAGACAGCTGATCCCATTCCTCCACCAAGAAGTCCACAGCCTTCTTGACGTTGAATGTTCTCCAAAATTGTTTCAAAAGTACTTCTTGCTCTGCCAACTGTTGATCCTCATCGTCTTCGCTCTTGCTATCGGTGTTGGTGTCACTCAGGTTACGCAACTCTTCCTTGGTGTAGTCGTTCAGGAGCTTGAATTTTTTAGCAGAGAATGCAGCTTTTACATTACAGATCATTTCTTGGTCCATGGGCTGTATTATAGACGTAGTGTTGGGAGGAAGGAAGACCACTTTTACATTGGGGTGACTATCTAACAGTAGGGGCGAGTGTCCTGGTGCGTTGTCCAGCAGCAACAAAATCTTGAATGGCACATTCTGTTGCTCACAGAATTTCTTCACATTGGGAACAAAACAGTCATCAAACCAGGAGAGGGACAGAGTAGAGAACATCCACGCCTTACATGCGGTCAGCCAGTGGACATTTAGCTTGGTCATGTCCATGCTCTTGTAGGCGTGCGGCTTGCGTGCTGTGTGGATCACCGATAACTTAAGCTTACAGGTACCGGAGGCATTGGTGGTAAACAGGACGGTGATGCGTTCCTTCTGCAACTTCCGGCCCCGACACTTGCTGGCATTCTTCACAACGAAGGTCTTGGAAGGTAGCTTTTTCCAAAAAAGACCAGATTCGTCCATGTTAAACACCTGGTCGTTGGTGTACTGTCCTTCCTCCATAATCTCACGTAAAAACGGAGGAAATTCCCTAGCCTCAACACGGTCAGCACTAGCTTCTTCACCACCAATGTTGATATTGGTGATCTTGTTCCTCTTCTTAAACCTCTGTAACCACCCAGAGGAAGCATTAAAGGGTTTGGGCTCTGTAATTCCCATCTTTCGTGACACTGCAGCATACAGTTCACGTGTGTACTCCTTAACTGAGAGCGTGTCCACCGCCATGTTCCGTCGCGCCTGACGCACCAAGTAGCTCACAAGTAATTTTTCCATCTTGAGAAGCACCTGGTTGTGGCAATACTTGATCATAGAAGCACCTGTAGACTTTGTGATGTTCATGTGCTCCTTTATCTTGGCTGCATCCTTCTTAATTGTCCTGATAGTTGATTCGTTAACACCATGCTGGCGCGCGAGATCAACCTGTCTTGTTCCTTTCTCCAACTCTTGTATGATCTTATATTTGATTTCGTAGCTTAAGGAACGTCGTGTCTTCTTTGGCTTAGGGCGGCTGGATCCAGGTAATGCAAGGTTTCTATGTGGTGGTGGTGGTGGTGGTGGTCCGGTGGAAGCCATTCTTATGGAACAATGGATACCGATATACACGGTGTAGCCGGGAGGGGTGTAACTGACGCGGGTAGGTCAAGGGGCTTGAACGCTCCCGCGGCGGGTCACGTCATAGTACATTAAACCAATCACAGCTAGCGGGGAGGGAGGTAAGGATGCTTTGCCCAATCACAGTCCGCTACGTCATATGGCGTCACCGATAACGCAACAAAGACATACACTGCGCAACCTACTCGCGCCGCTTACACAACATGGCGGATGGCGGGAGAGATGACGGGAGGTTTGGATCCAAAAATGGCGCGGCGCAAGAGGACCGCCAGCCGCTCTCCGCGTAAAGGGGTGCACACAACGCGGAAAGTGAGCATTCCGTGTTCGGCAAGATACCGCATAAACGTGGAAACACGTTAAGTGAAACCGCGTAAAGCGAGGGTTGACTGTATTACAAGTTTTCCTGCTTCATTACATCAGTCCTTATTGCATGGAAGCTGATTGTCAAGGTAGATTCTCTGTCTGGGAATGTTTTTAGTTGGATCTTTTCTATAGGTGTTTAGCCTTCCATAGATCCCTTTATAATACTGTACTGTAATAACAAATAATCATCCAATTCTAATTTTGTTTCACCAATTCCACAGGAAAGTTTGTTCAGGGTTGGCTCCTTTTGTTTGGATTGGTGTTCTAGGCTCTGCCATAAGACAGGATTTCAGGATCAGTCCTTAATTTTTTTTTATTTTACATTGGAATTATGTTTAGTCACTAGAATATTATATTTTTCCCAGGTGGATAGCCTTACATGCAGCGAACTTCAGACACACACCCACCTCAATGAAGAGCAATTCACAAAGTTCCTACAATCACTGTTAGACAGCAAGCTTCTCTTGACAGATGCTGAGGTAAGGTGGCATTATAGTTTCCTGTACACAACAGTCTACCAGCATAAGTACTAAATAAGTCTGTTTGGTTATAAGATTTGTTCAGTATATTGTGAATAAGCATGTACAATTCAACAGATAGCTTCAGAGGAATGACTAATTTTTTTAGATGAAAGTTCCAGCAACATAATCTTTGTGTCAATGTTTTTATATCTTCATTTTCTATCCTTTGCATTGACTTACATATAGTAGATCAGGCTCTTGTATCCTTTTTTCTGTGCAGAATCTCCAGGATGACACAGTTGTGCGTCTCAACACCGATTACAGTAATAAACGAACCAAATTCAAGATCAGTGTGGCGCCACAGAAGGAGCAGCAACATGAAGCAGAGCAGACTCATTCAGCGGTTGAGGAGGATCGTAAACTATACCTTCAAGCAGCAATAGTTAGGATAATGAAAGCACGGAAACTGCTCAAACACACCATGCTTATTCAAGAGGTTAGTACTATTAGAAATTTTTTACATCCTTGAAGATCACAGTTTGTTTATAGTATGAATGTCCTGCTTTGGGTATTTATTCTTTTTGCTCCCCTGCCTTTCCTAGAAAATTAAGAGAGTATTTCTTTATACAGTGGTCCCTCGGTTAACGAACAAAATTCGTTCCAGAAGGTCGTTCGTTAACCGAAACCATTGTTTCAATGGGATTTTGGGTACTTGGTTCCAGCTCACCAAAAATTACATACAAAGTAAAAATAAATGCAGTAAAGTACACTTACTTTGAGGTGTGATGTAGAAGGCTCCTGGTTGATGATGATGATGGGAATTAGAAGTGGGAGTGGAGGAGAAGGGAGAAGAGAAGGAAGTGGGGGTGGAAGAGAAATCACCCCATGCTTCATGCTGTCATTTCACCTATAATATTTTAAGTTCTCTAGGTGTAATTCAAGATTACTGTATTTTCTTTAAATCAACACTGCACTGCACTATACAGCATATTGTCAATATGTAAAATAAATTTCAGAATGACCAATAATTGTACTGTAAAAATGTAAAAATAGTTATGTTCAAGAGAGCCACAAGCAAGATGTTACCTCCACTGACCAGAGATACAAACTGACGCCTTTGTGGATGAGTCAAGTGGCTGATTGGCGCACCAAAAACTAGTTTCCTGTACTGCAATTATGTTAAATAATTGTTAAAATGACTAAAAAAATTTATATAAAACTTGGACAATTATTGAATAGTGCAACCTTCTTGATATTTACTCAAATGGGAAAGAATTTAAGCCCTAGAACCGATTACTGTATTGGCGGACTAATATTCCAGCTGGTGAGCAAGCGAAAACATTTTGACATGATTTCGTAAAAATTTTGTTAACCGAATTGAAGATTCTTATGGAAAGTAATTCGTTAACCGAGGCGTTCATTAACCGAGGGATCACTGTATTGTAAAGATGTCCACAGTGACAAAATGTAGTTTCATCTGAAAACCTGCAATTAAAATTTTTTGGACCGGGTTTGTTCCTGAAGGGTCTTTTGCAACTTGAATGGGAATATTTCTTTTGATGGTTTTATTAATCTTTCTTACTATTCTTAAACTGGATTCACACTGATTACAAATCAAGAAAATAATGGTGTCTCATTGAATGTAAATTAACATTACAAATTGCAAAGTGTTTCTATAAGTTGTATCCTGTGCTTATTAACCCTCTTGCGCATGAGATAAAACTCTTAAAGTTTTCCAGTTCCATATATCTTTCGTAACTGATTGCTCTGCAACATAAGGAAAAAAAATATAATAATTCAAGTACTGTACAGCATGCCCTTATAATTCATGGCGGTTTGGGTCTCAAAATGGCCACGAATAATCAAATCCGTGAATAACATTTGCTTACGGGGGGGGGGGGGTGGTTACATTTTTACTTGTGTGCAAAGAAATGTATATTCCCTTTATGTGTTTGCCCTTATGACAATTATTTCTTTTACCTGTATTTTATAAATGTGTGTGTGTGTGTTTCAACACACACACACACACATATACAGTGGTCCCTCGGTTAACGAATGCCTCGGTTAACGAAATTTCGGTTAACGAACTGCCTCCCATAAGATTCTTAAATTCGGTTAACGAATTTCTTACGAACTGACCTCAACATGTTTTCGCTTGCACTGGCCGGTCAACCAGCTTTAGTATTAGTCCGCCAATACATTAATCTGTTCTAGGGCTTAAATTCCTTACTATTTTAGTAAATATCAAGAAGTTTATACTATTCAATAATTTTAAAAGTTTAATACAGTATTCAATTTTTTAGTCATTTTAACAATTATTGAACATAATTGAAGGTAAAGTGACTAATTTAATGCGCGGCATCCAGCCTCTTAACACAGCAAACAGGCGTTAGTCTCTCTCTGTTTTTACTGGAGGTAACATCTTGCTTGAGTCTCTCTTCAACTAAATGCTTTTTTTCTGTGTTTCCAAGCAAATTATTGGTCATTTTGAAATATATTTTATATATTGACAATATATAATGCAGTGCAGTGTTGATTTAAAGAAAATAATCTTGAATTACACCAGAGAGCTAAAATTTTATGGGTGAAATGGCGCCATGGGGTGACTTCTCTTCCACCCCAATGCCTTCTCTTCTTCCTTCTCTTCCACCCCCATTCTAATTCCCATCATCATCATCATCATCCAGGAGCCTTCTACATACACACCTCAAAGTAAGTGAACTTTTCTACCATTTTTGTTGAGTTTAGGCAATTTTCGGTGAGCTGGAACCAATTACCCCAAAACCCATTGAAACAATGGTTTCGGTTAACGAATTTTTCGGTTAACGAGCAACCTGCTGGAACGGATTGTGTTCGTTAACCGAGGGACCACTGTATACAATACAATACAGGTACTCCTCGACTTATGACCTACTCGACTTACGACCACCCGGCCATAGGACTGCCACAGTTGTACAAAAAATTTGTCAAATTACGTATTTTTGAGTCCCAACGTTAGTGATCGCGCTGTGTACTGACAAAATTTTCGTTTGTAATTCCCTTTAAAATGGCTGGCAAGCGTAAAAGTGAGAGTTCTCGTGGTGCTGAGAAGAAAAAGACACCCATTTTAGATTTTCTATGTATTATTTTTGCATTTTCGACTTACGACCTGGTCGTCGGTCCCTTACCCCGTTGTAAGTCGGGGACTGACTGTACAGGTAAAAGAAATTACTGTCTAAAATGAATGGCTCCCTGTCCCAGCCACGAAATGCCGGACTTTAAAACTACCCGCAGACATTCTTGGGTACATCCGGGGTGTCATCCTTGAATAATAGAGGACCGCGAATTAAAAATCTGCAAATTGTCAGGGCATGCTATGCGAGTATATGGCTGTATATGGCTATTTTTCGTCACTTCTAATATACCCCCTAGCTCAAATTTGTCTGAGTCAACTGTGTAAGTACTATACACTACTAGAAGCAGAAGTTTATGAGCTTTCCAATGCAGTAATCAGATTTCTGATATGACCAATAGTTTTTGAGAAAATAGCAAACAACTGAATATCAAATGGTATTTATTTATTTTTTTATCTGTTTTGATTATTTTTGTGCCTATGTTTTATGACGATATAAATTATATTGCATCTTGTAGCCAACACTATAATGAAGAGAATGGCACTGATAAAATTCATGTAAGTAAAAAATCATCCTCTTCAGAGACTTTTCGAGACATTGTCAGTATAACGAGGTTGTATACCTAGCCTCGAGATTGCCAATTAGTTAATTAGATAGAACATACTTGCTACTATGACCCATCAAAATATGATACAATTCTGTTGAAAACTTAATTTTTGGCGATTTTTTTTTTAAGCTTGGTGACTCAATTTGCGTCACCGGTAAAGTTGGTTTTATCACAAAAATTATGCGAATCGCATCATCATGTGCGAGAGGATTAATGTAATGCATTGCAAAGGATAATAAAAGTATCTAAATATTTTTCTTTGCAAATGTTTCAGATATTGCAGGTAGGTACTTAGATTCTTAGATATATAGAGGACATGAATATTATGATTTAAGTTCTATTTTCAACATCTAGCTATGAAATGTAGTTTCTCTAATAAAAATAGTGGGCTGGAAAACAAGGTTTATTCTAGCATATATGATCCAATGGAATCAACAAATCAACACCTTACTTTCTTAGATTTTAATTATTATGGTGTACATGGTCATTATTAGCCATGAAACCACTTATTTCATTTATAGTGCACTGAATCATAATTAACAGTTCATGTGATAGTAGTATCAGGGTCAAGGTCAGATCATGGAGGAAGCCAAGACCATAGTATTACTTATTGGATGTAGACCATTAAACCTGTTTATTTGTGAAATCAGCAAAGTTTCATTACTTCAAAGGCTTTTAAGAAATATGAAGAATTAGAAAAAAAATTACCTTTACTAAAGCTTAGTTGTTTTTATAGAATATAAAGCAACAGACTCCGTGATCTTTCAGTTTATTTAAGAAAAATGGCCATTTAGGCATTGTCAGTAAATACAGACTACTAGGTACCATTCATTTTTGGCACTTTAAATTTGGTGAAAAATTATATTACTCTAATTCTTCCTTTAATTTTAACTTCAGCCGATAGTGTGCACATTAAAAAAAAACCCAGTTAATGCTACATAAGTGATGTCATTTATTCAATATGAATTATTGGTGTACAGTATAGTGATTAAGATGAGACAATAGGGGTGCAAAGTTTGTGTTAATCTTTATTAGAAACCCGAGAAGAAGGTGGAGAATATTCTCATACACATGTGAAGAGCATTGGGGGGAATGTTTAGATTGACATAAGACAACTGGATCAGTAAGAATCATTGTAATGATCTCAAGAAATACAGCCCAGAGTGAGAAAGTTGATCACAGGAGCACAGTCTGATCCAGGTTTAATTTAAAATTATTGTTCTATTTTTGATAAAGAAAGAACAGTGCCCTCAACCATCACTACAGGCATCCCCCGGGTTATGGAAATTCGCTCCTACGGATTTTGTAAATTATGACCAGTAAATTCGGGACACGGACAAAAAATTCTCCCTTACGGAAATTGGGTAAATTTTTGTTTCAATACTATTAGGAAAAAAATTCACAGAAATTATACACTTTACTGTATTTCGTGTAGATTTCTTGGTGGTTGCTACAATACTGTACAGGGCGAGGCAGGAGCCAGTAGTGCACCTCCTTCTCCCTTTCAGTAACTCCGATTGCACCACCTTACCTCACCACCTCACCTAATGTAGCACTCAACATCGTTTGTGTTAAGTTAAATTAAAGTGTTTTGTATATTTATTATCATATTACATGTATATCATAAAATAATAATTGTATGTGTTAAAAAATATATTTTCATTCCTAAATGTGCTTGTATTATGCCATTTTGCCAAAAATATTTCCTTGGGAAAGCATCTCCAATTATATAATGGAAGTCAATGGGAAAATTGGTTTTGCGTGATGAAATTTCAC